GAGAAGAGCCAAGAAGAGCGGTGAACTCTTGGGGCACAGGAGGAATATCCCCAGGGCGAGCGAGGTGGAGTGTGAGGCAGCTTCCAGCTCTACCAGCAGGGGGAGCCCGCTCCTAAGTGTTTCCTTGCTCAGGCTGCAGACGAGGGCCCCGCCGTCCCGCTGGTCTTAGGGAAGGATCAGGACCAGTGACATTTCCTTTACCTTTACCAAACCATCTCTCAGCCTTTCTTGTTTAGATCATGTTGCTAAGTCCTTCCGGATGTTCTGGTTTTCTTTCCCTTTAAATGCTTTTGTTTTCTTCTTCTCCACAAACCTGATAGTCTCTGCGACTCTATCTCAGGCTGCAGAGCTGGACGGCAATAGCAGAGTCTGACCCAGGCTGAGCCGATGGGAGCGCAGAATTCACTTGTGGGGGTTACTGGCTCCTTACACTTTCATTTATTCTTGAATTTAATCACGTACTGAACCTTTACTGAGGCCCCTGCTGCAGTGGGGAGCTCTGTGCCTCGGGAGGGAAGTGGCTCCGTGCAGTCAATGGTCTCCTGACCCAGGCAGAAACCCAGTTCTCCAGGAGCAAGGGGAGAACGGGCAGCCGGGGTGGTGGGGACACGTTTCCCAGGGACAGTGTCCCAGGTGGAGAAGAAGGATACAAAGGTTGGGAGCTAGGGAAGACCTGGGTGGGGCACAGCCAGTAGCTCCTTCTTGCTGGAGCTTTGGGCCACTAGGGTGGAGGAATGAGGCTGGAGGTGAGCCGGGGCCGGGGTGACTGGGTTTCTAGACATTGCATCCTCTGGGTTTTACACTGAAAATAAGCCAGGGGACCTGAAGCAAGCAGAGGTGGGGGGGACACACATTTGCTTATTTTGGCAGCATAACTCAGGTGCAGTACATATATGTATTAAATGTACGCCATCCTCTTTTTTATGTTGTGTGGATTTGGAAGGATTTGCTGTAAAAAAACTCAATGTACTCTTGTACTATTCATTAACATTGTTACCCAAAGGTGAGTTACCAAGGAGTCCTTTTGTGGTACATTTTGAACAGGTGGGAGGTAGACATTTCTAACAAATGTGGGAAACTTTGTGCACAAAGTCGATGCTTGTTCGTAAGATCATGTCATCAATTTCCTGATACCTTTGTGGACGTACATGTTGTCTTTATTTTTATTTTTAATTTGATGGACTGGTTTTAAGATGAATTTTTTCGGAAAGGGACTTTCTGTTCACATCATTCCTGTTTTCAGGATTCGGCAAGATGCCACTGCTTCGTTGATTTTGCTGTGGAAGGTCACGGCCACGGGATTTCAACAGTGCTCCCTCATAGACGGACGGAGTGTGACCCCTCTCCAGGCTCCAGGGGGCCTTGTTCTCCTGGAGGAGATGCTCGCCTTGGGGAATAATCACTTCATTGGTGAGTTATGGAAATCTTCTCCTCGATACCACGTCTGATTCGACTCAACCTTGGTTTGGTGTTTAGAGATAGTAGATACGGAATTTTGCCCAGATAATTTGAATTCTAGCCATCAATACTATTTTCTTCATTTTTGGTAAGGTTTTACAACCGCAATTGGGTTCTAATGTATTTGCAATGAGGCTCAGATTAGAAAAATTGTGAGCTCTGGAATCCAGAGACTGTATTCCAGCCCTGGCCAGAACATCATAGCTGTGTGATCTTTGGCACTTAATGTCGATTTTCCTTTTGACTGTTTGTCCATTTTCTTCAGGAATTGTGGACAACTTGAGGTGTCGCATGTTATTCCCACTTGATTTCAGCCTGACTTAGCGCTGTCAGGCACAGTACCTCACTAGTGAGTTGCCACTTCAGAGCCCCTGACTCAGCAGTAACTGTGGGATTACAACTCTCTTTGGGGCCCCTCTCCCCCACAATCACCCCCCCTGCGTGAGTCAATTCTAACTTTTTACCCTTTCTCGAACTTTTCTAAACGATCACATGTCTAATTAGCTGTTTTAAAATTCCTCTGCCTTGGAGTAGAAATGGCTGTCAGAAAGCAAGAGCCTCATGTTCCCTCTGCGCCCCCTGCCACCCTCCCTCCTGCTCCTCCCAAGAGCTACACTTGGACAGTTTCCAGAGGGCCACCTTCCCCCAGTTTAGCATTCCAGCCATATCCTCCCGGTTGTCTTCATCCCTCACCTGGCATATGGTACCTTTGGGGTTGGAACCTGCAACTCCAGCCCTTTAGCGTGCTGATGTAATCAGCTGCTCTGTTAGAGCTTGTTCCATCTTGCAGCCTCAATGCAGAGACACAAGCTCAAGTTTAGAATCTACCCATCCCAGTCCAGTGCACCCAAGCAGCTTCTTTCATCCCGCTGTCAATACCGTCTCCTGTCTGACGGTATATTCAGTCCTCACCTGCAGGCTGGGGTGAGCAGTGACAGCACCTCTCTCTCAGGGAGGTAGGGAGGATTAAATGAGACATTGGGTATGAAAGGATGAATTACAAATGTGAAGGATTATTCTAGGGCACTTTCTCTATTTTTTCTGAGATACACTAAATATTTTGCTAAATAGATGGAAGATAAGCATTTCGACTTATTTGTTCTCTACCAATATGTATTTGAAACAAATATAATGAAGATTAAGGCATAAGTGAAAATGTTCAGCACTATGTAATTTATATTGCATTTTATATTTGACTGTCCCTCCTCTGATGAGAAGGTGTTTTTCCAATCTTTGGAAATCCAGCTTGGGGAAGCAGGGATTTTACTGGGCGGAGAGACGGTAAGGAGAAATCCATTTGGGGAATGGACATGGCTGGACAAAGGTGGGGG